TGGCTTTATAAGATCTATCACTTTCAAATACATTGCATCATAACATTCACTGTAATTAAGCACACAAAGGTCCTAAATATCAATTTTGACAAAAAAATGACCAAAAAAAAAACACACACACCAAAAATACATATTTCAAAGCCCAAATTTCAATCAGATCTAAATCTCACGTGGCTTTATAAGATCTATTACTCTCAAATACACTGCATCAAAACCTTTCATGTAATCAAGCTCACAAAGGTCCAAAATGTCAATTTTGACCAAAACTGACAATAAGTTCAAAGTCCAAATTTAAAAAAAAACATACCATCAAAACTGTTTGTGTAATTGAGCTCACCGAGGAAAACTCACAACTTTGGTAACCACTTATTGAGAATATAATTTACAAATGGCAACAGAATGTAAATAACTGGTGGACAATATATAGCACAATATGGACACAATGTTTCTGTTTCTATGTGTAGTCATGCAGTACTCATCAGTCAGTGGACGTCTGTCGTTGCGCGGGCCAGCTCGTCTGCAAAATTGTTCCGTTTTTGTCTTAACAGACATGCGCAATCGCGATTAACGTCAGAGCGAGATATTTCCATTACATGAATTCTGATTGGTGTAGGGTACTTGGCCGTCATTTGACAAGCGAATAAAGATGCGGGTAACATATTACGCTTTTATTTCTTTTTATTACCAAGCCAGATTCTGTTGCACAAGATTCGGCAATGTAAGATTTTTGTCTCCCTTCCATATTTATAAGAAATTCACTTCAGTTTCCTAATTTTATAAAATAATCACATCGATATTCACTTTCTATAACTCAAACGGGTCACTTTTACAATTTTTATAAGATTTTCACTTCGTTTTTTTACAGTTTTTAAAAAGCATCACTTCGATTTTTACACTTTTAAAACGTGTACTTCGCACTTCGTTTTTTACCCAGTGTGGAGGCTCTCTTGTGAATATTTCAATACTATTTCTGGCTTGTAGTTTCTAGTTAGAAGTTAGACTTCACTTTTCTAATATTTTAATCTATAATCAAACATTTCATTGAAATATAGGGTCGACAATATTTGATTAAATAACCGGATGAAATGAACATAACTTGTGTAAACCGACATGGACTTGTGGTTCGAACTTATTCGAATATGCAAATGTTTGTATGCAAATCTGCAGTGATTATTATTGCATGTGCTCGACAACTTATACGTCGCTGTTCTACTGTTTCTAAGGTGTTGCTTAGATACGTTTTTGTTTTGAAATTTATTCATAAAAAACGTAATGTAAACCTACAACCTCTAGAGGGCGCACTCCTAACGGAAGTTATGAAATTCTGGGCTGGACTCCCAATTCTATGTCGTCTGTTAAAGTTGTCACCAGTACACAACCCTCTATGAATACGCTTCATGAATTCATGCATTATTTTTTTTAAATGTCTTTTGTTGAATAGTTTGATGGTTTTTTTTGTTAGAATAGTGATTTTTTTGTTAAGAGTAAACCAAATTCAGTTTAAATCCATACTACATCATTCGTAGATAACTAGAGAAATCCCAAGTCCCTGGTTTTGTCTTTGAATAAATGGACCAAAAAGTGTTCAGATGAGGGCGAGTTTATGTCAGTGATCATATTCTCCAAAGATTAACAACATTTTTAGCATATAAATTGTCTTCCAACAAACTTTGAGTTTAATTTGACATTTTGATGATACTTTGAAAAACACAAAACAAATATACAAAAAAACCACTCCAACAGAAATCAATCTTTGATTGTATAAAATCATAGAGAACTCTGGGTAACTTATTATTATGCTGTGGGTTTTGAGTTCTATGCTCCCGAACTCTAAAAAGTGAACACTATCAAACTTTACACGTTCAGGTGAGATATTTGAACCTTGGACCATCAATGACTACAGAGATAAAACATCTCACACTATTGTCCCCAGCGGTCTTTATTTCACAGAACTACCCTCTTCTGCCGAATGCTATCAATTTCCAACAGGTGAAGCCATATAGAAAATTAGTCGATGCAATTTTTCCGGGGGTGTGGTGGGAAATACTTCGATTTTGAACCATGATTCTTCAAATCAATGGAGTCCTGGTGTGTTCACTCTAATAACTGAACTAAGCATGCGAGTATTGTGGCAATGCAATAAATTTATGCATTTATCGCATGTGCGGGAAACCATCTGGTCGATTAAATAAATTGGCTTTGACTCGCCACTGCCTCTACCAATCAGTGGTTTTTTACATGGCACCATGCTCTAGTAGTAATTATATGTACATTCCAACTTCACATAGCTATTCATAATATAATGTAATTATATATAGCCATTTAATCAATTTTTCGCTTTATCTTTCGTCAACAAAGTGTTGTCACTTTGTCACTGTTGCTTGCTTCCACCAAAGTCATCAAGAAAGTCAAGAACATACCACCCTGATCAGATGACGTGAAAAATCGTTCCACTGCTGTCAAACCGGCAAAGCCTCCATGAGTACTAAATCATAAACCTCCATAAAATACATGGGTCAACACCTATGGTACCTGTATCGTACCTTCATTAGGCAGTACTTTTAGATTTCAATCTATTCGACTCGGGATTTTAAAATCATGTTTCATCATTTATGCACCTGCTGATCACACCTGTATTTGCTTTGTCTAGTTTTTTGTTGAGAGACTACGAACCATTTGACTAGTAGTACTTAGCAGGGCTCTTTAACTTTATAATTTATAATAAGTAGTGTGCTTGCATGTAAAATAAAACTCATATTTTCCCACTATAAAAGTAAGCAGTTGTGAATGAACATGTTTACTTAAAAGGTTAACCTAAGGTTTTATACATAACCCATTTTATTTTATTTTAACTCAGAATGATATATGCCTGTTGTAACATGTGTAGCAGAATGTGCTCACTCTTTTCAAACACACGCCTGATATTGTGTATGTGTATACAAATATTCTCCGACAGTTGGCGAACGTGTGTCTTATGTTAGAAAATCACTTGCATCCTTAATTGATCATATTAAATGTATTATAATTGCACAATTATAAAACATCCTAATGCTGTCACAAACTTTCAGTAATATCTAGCAGAATGGTACTGCTTATCTTTTCAGTGCATTTTTCTAGGAACAGTTTCAATACCTTTTCTCAGGCACTACTACATGATTCTGGTATAAAACTAATAATCTTCAACCTGGTATTTTTTATAGATTTTATTTTTCATTCTGTTCGTCTGTTTTTTCCAGTTTAAAAAATATGAGCTGGCTGGAGCCTTCACCCCTTGTCTATTTCTTACGCTAGATACCAGCCGATACCCCCCCCCCCCGCTCATAGAGACTGCGTACAATTGATCATAGTGTCTGGGCTCCCTGTATTCCATGTTGAGTTGAATTTTTCGGGGTCTTTCCGCCAACTGAGACTGAGAATGAGCAATACATGAGTGTTGGGTTTTAAGGCTAATAGGTTGAGATTTACCACAGTCCTTCGCCCATCGTCCGAATAGCACAGTTTGTTGGTGCCGAGTCATTGCCGACTCCACCAACCCGTGCGGGGTCAGCCTGGGTAAACGTGTATTTTATGTTAAACAGGTGGCCAAGTTGGATGCGCCTGCTGGAAAGCCGCCCAATCAGACGCTGTGTAACATTGCGCAGTAAGCTCGGAAATGGCGACGTGCAGCACCGTTACTTCAAAATTCTTCTAGTAACCGTACGTGTAGAGTCTGTTTAGGTTATTTGCCAAACCCCAAAACCGGCGCTGCATTTTTTCACCCAGTTTTCCAAAAAGTTACGACCATGTTTTAATAATGTAATTAAATTGTCAACTCTGAAAGAAAAACGCGGAAACTCTACTCTACTGATCATTCAAGAGTTGAACTGTTGCTAAATTTTTCGTGAGTTGCCACTCCCTGTCCTCGTTACAACAATCTCATCTTTTTCCAGCTAGTAATGTCTCAGTTTTGGTGATCGGTGTGGCTTTTTATCTTGAAAAACTGCGTGTTCTGTTTTGCTTGGGTCGCCATTAAAAAAAACCGTTCTACTGTATTTTGATATTAGTTGCTGATTGGTTGTTTTATTTTGCCGCAACGCCCCTCCTTGTCGTTAAGGGGCGCCTATTAAATACACACTGTTGTGGTTCAATGTTCCTTGGCTGGCGAAGATTCCCTTCACCCAACCTCATGAAAGGCTTGATTCAATGAACTGAATGAATTGAATTGGTGATATCATAGATGGTCATTTCAGAGATGTCTACATTATCCGACACAGTACAAGGGGAGTTGTCCCCATTGTGATCCCGGAATAATGCGTAATGCTGTGTAACGTAAAGTCTCAAATATTTCTGGCAAACCAGAAACGATGTACTCATGTTGAACAAATCATAGCTTAGTACTCGCGTAGTGGCACAGCTGGTGATATCGTGAATACTGTTATAACGTGGGATTAACATGGATATACTCGAAGTTATCGTAATTATAGTTACCGATCGGGTGGACATTGTGTATACAGTTAGGGTATCATGAATACATTTTATGGCTATCGTGGATACAGTTGAATATCGTGTATAAAATTGGATATCGTGGATAAAGTTCGAAGGTGGAAAATAAACAATAACAGAAGTATAAGAAAAAGCATTTATTCGTACAATGCTTTTGTAATTACAGTGGGAGTCACAGATATGATAATGAATGGATTGAATGATGAGCTCTGAAATGTGCACTTAAATATAAATAGAAATAGGACTACACTGGTGACTCGACTGATAAATCGGAATTTATAACTATTCCTGAATAAAGATATTTACAATGATTGTTTTATTATTGGTGCCATGAAGCCGTCTGCTTATTGGTACAACATCAATTGAAAATAAAACGACGATAAAACAGTACTGATGCAAGAGTATAATAACACATTACATACCATCAAAAACTAACAACGTCTTGTACTAATACGAAAAATAAAAAGTTTTCATGAATTTTCCATTACGATGGTGTTCTCTGCGGAAAGTATAGTTTCTTATACAATGACACAACATTTAGCCGTGGGGGTAGGTTTTTCCAATTCAAACGGTCCGATATAGTTTGTGATTACACGTGGTTTTGCGATACTTCCAGATATAAACAGGTCGTCTGGCTTTCCAATAAGCCTACTGTTGTATGCTAGCTTACCCTGCAATACATTGAACAATGATCATGTTTGTGTTTCTCAGTGGCTTATATCGCGTCTAATGCCAATAACCGCAATATAACAGCAGACTATAGTAACGAAATAGTTTTGATAATCTATAGTAACAATATCATCTCGATAACCACAATATAAAAGCATATCCTAGTAACGAAATAATCTCGCTAATCACAATATAACAACAGACAATAACAACGAAAAAACTCGATAATCTATAGTAACGATATAATTTCGTTAGCCACAATATAACAAATAAATATTACCTTGTTAGTTGTCGCCGGTGAAAACGTCATAAAGTTTTGTGTGACAAGGAAGGTACACTTGCTATTCTCCTTACCGACTGGTGGCATACTCATAACTGCTTTTCCAACACCAGGTATATCAACACTCTTATTATAAGACGCTAAATACAGGTAGGGTACTGCAATCTGAAACAAAACACATTACGGTCGTCGTCACTGTATTTTGGTTTATAAAGTTGTGTTGTAAAATGACTGGGTACAAACAACCGATGTGCATAATTGTACATTCAAGTTGTCTTTTTATTAGAAATTCTACATTCTGAAGACTATTACAAATATTTGTGAACAATTTGTTCATGTCATGTACATTTACACAAAGTGTATGTCAAAAAATACTTGTGTTATCGCCACAATTATGTTATGAAATCCACGGCAATATGCTCATTCTCCTTGAGGTTTTCAACATGAAACTAATACATTACATAAAAGTTAAATGGAAAACAGATAATTAAACAAGTAATCAAACGTTAATTCCGTAATTTCAAAATCTTTCTTTTAAATAGCCCGACAGTACATTCTGATCTAGTAGTCTAGGAAACCCTTTCAAGATCAGTGACTGTTCAGACCCTAACAGTTTTGGATGTTGTTGTATATTTTTTGCAAAAGAACGCGTTTTGGGGAGTTCATCTCGGAATAATATTCACAAATTATTCTCATACATGTTAGTGCGAGCCGATTGATAGATTTGTATATTCAAATGTATTTGTGTTAGATCATTTTGATATTCCTTATTAACAATCATTCTATTCACACTTCTCTGGAATGGGATATGTTTTTATGAGACCAACCCCCACAAAACACCTTGGAATATTTGTAATTGATTAAACATCTAAAATGGTCTTATCATAAAAATACAGATTTTCCTATTGTTTGACCAACTTTTAGATGAGATAAACATATCTATTTAGTATTTCTTTCACGATTAACTTTCAAAATTGTCATGACTGCTTTTTATTTTATTTTGATCAAGTTTAATATACTATACAGATAAGGTTTCCAGCTTAGTTTGTTCAAGTTTATACCATAACTACAACAACTCGTACTGGTATATTTAAGGACATTGTCAATGAACTGGATGATAGTTTACATCTCGTGCTTCCTTGCGCTTGCTTTACAATAAGTCCATTATTTATAATCGACTCACCTTCGTGGGTGGTTTATTAACAATAGCTGACGACGTTGGCATGTTTATCACTATCCCTGACTCTGTGTGTAGTTTTCCCCAACACGCCAGGTGAACATCACCAGACAACACTGAAACCCTGGTTTTCTTTTTTTCTGAGAATTTTACCATTATACTGAAAAACCAGTCTCGTTCTTTCTGTCGGTCATCAAGCACACCCCAGTGGTCCATCAAGTCGTCCTCGGATTCCTAGTAGTATAAAATAGTCACATTGGTCAAATGAAGTTGAGCATTTAGTTATGTCAGCATAAAATGACCTGTGATGTGTACAAAATAAAAGAAAAACAAAACAAAATATACTGTGAATTTAAAACTGCAAACTAAAGACGTGAAATGTTTAAGACATGATACCTATTTGGACAATGAAATATCATTGTTATTTATTTGTCATTATGTTGCAATAAATTTTATTAACAGCAAAGCTAATGATATTGGCAAAGAGCTACTAAAAAACTAGGTATATAGGAAAATGTTAACTCATATTAAATATGTTTATGCCCAATTTCTATAGCTGAAAACATAGAGGTTTACAAAATTGTCATTTAAAAAAGTCAAAACCGAATAAAAACAATACATACATTTTTACGAAATGAGTAAAAGAGTAGTTCGACTAATTTCATTGTTAGCTTTCTTTAAATCAAGGTGACTAGCCGTTTGCATTAATATCACAAACATTTACACGTCTAACTTCGACATTGTTACCTGTACTCCTGGAATAATTCGTAATACCGTGTATGGTATGTCCATGGAAGGAAAAATGGGCGGTACCCCTACGATTATGAACATGTGTTCAACGCCTTCGATCGAATCCAAACATTTGGTGACACGTGTCCATGAATCATCGCTCAAAATACGTGTGGGTGTTCGCTCTGAACGTGTATCCAACATCTGAAATAACGACCAAAGCAATGAATCTAATTACTCCAGGTTTATATAAACAGTCATATATATCTATATTGATTTCTCTATATCGTATTGGCACAGTTTGTTGCATCTTTAATTATTTTACTTAGTGGGTCAAATTGTATTATGTCATTTTATTATACATCTGTCACTGTCAGCATGTCGTAATGTAGCGGTATTTTACGAGGTATTTTCATCCTACCATATAAGGAAATGCGAATTCCAATGGCGTGATTATGCGCGTAAGCGTCCTCTAATAATAAAAACAAACATGGCTGCCATCGGGGTTTGACCCGGGGGGTGTCCGGACTCCATCCACAAAGAAGTTCGCTTATTCTATTCTAAACTTTTTGGATTTCGGCATTACCAAGATGTATCCTCGGAGGGTAAAGATGTATGATAATAAGGTTATTACGAGAATACCTCAAAGTATGCACTCAGATAGTACGCTGCGCATTGACCTCTGCTGCGCGTCGGTCGATACTCCAGCTGTACTGTCTTCGTACATACTTTGAGGTATTCTCGTAATAACCTTATAGTACGTTGTACTTGTAGGAGACATACTTACTAAGAATGCTGTGTTTCCGAAGCGTACATAGTAAGATAGTGGCAGGTCTCGTTCGTCGTGACCAGGCCATGGGTTTAACCAGGTGTTACAGTGATTCAAATGTAAATCCATATCACTATAAAAAATATCATAATACATACAGAGAATACAGTGATTAGTTTCTCGGTCTCGTAAAGATTTGTTTCATCGTTCACTTTTGTTCTACGTGTACTTCGTTGATTTGGTGGAAACCAAATATTGTTTGTATTGATTGCCTTACCCTTTCATTAGGTCGACATCTCTCAGGCACCGTAGTTGAAAAAGTAACATATATTTTCTACCAGCATCGTAAATTCCGTCAAAGACGGGACACATTTTTCGACTACCATAACCGTCGATAATTTCATGGTCGTCCCCTGCAATACATTGAAATCATATATCGTTACCATTATACAAAATACATGAATAATTATTTTTTGATACAACTATGTATGATATAAAAGATGGTTTTCATATAAAACATCAATGGCGGTATCATTGTGCAAGTGTGACTGACTGTTGAACATTTTCATAAATCCAACGCCGTATGGGGCTATAATAAAGTTTCATTCAGCAATGACGGGAGTGTGACAAAATGTG